GTGATGTACACTTTGCACCCGATGGCGCAGGCACTGCACTCTTTACGAGGGCTCGGGATGTCGGCACGAGGAATGATCTCCCTGGTTTTATGATCCAGCATATAAATCTTGTCGCACATAAAGGTCTGGCCACCGAGCAGCAGCAGGGCCTGGCTGACCTTGCGGGGTCGGGCGCAGCACCCTGTCACAAGGCCATCGTTTTGCAGGATCTTCATTTTGCATCGGACGGCGTCGGCCACGATCTCCTCCCCCAGCTTGTGGCTGGTCACCAGCTTCTCGCAGGCCACTTGCTTCCGCAGGTAGGACTCGGGCAGAAGGGCCAGGCGGACGGAGCGCAGCAGCTCTGGCAGAACTTCATGGCGTCGGGGCAAATCGTACCGGATCCAACCTATAACGGCTTCGTAGACCAGCGTCTCGTCCTCTACCTCCAGCTCTTCGCTCTCCACCAGCTCCAGCAGCTTGTCTTTGGGCAGGCGGAGGAAGTCTTCGGTCTTGCAGAGTGAGGTGAAGTTGGCCAACGCCATCCTCCAGGACAGCTCCAGCAGCCGCTCGCAGCAGTGGGCATCGGACAGCAGCAGCATGTTCAAGCAATTCCCAGGGTAGAGATTCTTCTCCAGAAAGTCGGCCGAAGCATCGCGAATATCCTGGAACTGCAACATGTCCCCGGCCTCCAGCAAGGACTCGGCGTTCTCCTCGTTAATCAGCACCCGGGCCGAGTAGGCGTAGTCCAGCAGCAGCTCCAGCACCTCGGGGTGGAGGGAATCGTGGAAGTTGACTTCGGCGTCTCTGCTCTCCTTCAGGCCCCCGCTGAACATAGCGTCGAAGTAGCGGCTGCAGGAGGCCAGGACGGCCCGGTGGCAGTGGAAGGCCTGGTTGCCTGCCCGCAGCACCACGTCGGTGAAGAGGTGCCGCTTGCGGAGCAGGTTGAGGTGGGTGAGGAGGCTGTCGGCGTGGCCCGGTTTGTGGAAAAGGTGAATGTTCATGGAGCCGGAGCTCGAGCGGGATTTTCGGTTCTCGTGGCTGCTGACGGACATGGTGCTCAGGCTGCTCTGCAAGGGAAGAGC